CAGTTTATAGTGAAATGTAAAATAATTCCTTTAGAGAAAAATACTGTAAGTTGCATTGAACTCCTGGAGGAATACCAGATAATTAAAAAATCATTATTGATAGTGTATCTTTCTTGTCATTGTGAATAGTTGGTGTGATTGGGGTTCATTTTGTGGGACACCGAACTAAAAATATTCTCGCATGATAGGAGAACTGGGGATGTATGGTTTATTACAGCTGATATGACTGATTCATAGTTCTGATTGTATTAGAGATACAACCAATGCCTGAACGAACGAATAACTAGACTTTGTGCTAGTTATGCACCAGTTAAAAAGGTATTTTTTGTAGATTAAATACTTTCCGCTTTTTGTGTTGTGAGAGAAAATACTAACATATATAATATTTTTAAAAAATTATAGTTATGTATATGACACTAAATTGAAATGGTAGGAAATAGACAATTTTACTGATGACAATAATTTTTTGAATTAAAATATTTGATTAAAATCAAAATTTTCCAATAATTGTGGCTTATAAAATACAAATATTGAGATTGCTTTCAGTTTTATTGGTGCGAGGCGACAATCGTATTGCTCAGAAATCGGGGGGCTGCTATAAGTAAGAACAGCTGGCGCTTAAGAATTGATTTATTTAATTCGGATTTTATTTAAAAAATTGAGAAATCAAAAGGGATTACTATATTTATTTAACGGTTTCGAAATGAAGATTGTTATTTTAGTTCACTCTAGAAAAAAGCCTGCCATTGATTTTTGAATGAAATATTCCGATTAAATTAAGTAATTTAATCTTTAAAATACAGACAAACCGAAAGTTAATGAGGTTAATGGGGTTTTGCTAACTTTCAGTTGTTAGCTCACTTTCAAAGGGTTGCAGTTGAAAAATTGAATTAGGCAGGTTTCGCCACTGCATTGCTCAGAAAATACTGGCAAAAGATGCATATTCCTCGTGCCATACCGTGCCGTGCCACGTCAAATATACACATGCAAGCTCCATGCCGGAGCTAGGTAGCGCTTCAACTTTACAGCAAAATGAAGTCTACACCGTGGAACACAATTAGGATGCTTTGTGTGCGTTCATTTGTAAAATTAATAATTGAGCACACGTGAGTGAGTGTCACCTACACGTGAATTGCACCATTTTTCAAATTTTTGTTATATTTAGTAAGTGGCACTCCGTTTGGATTCAAAAATTTACAAATTTAGCAAAAGCGAAGTGTGAGCAGTGAGTGTACTGCTTACACTATATGCATCTATCATTTATCGTTAATATATCCATATTATTTTCGCTTGGATTTGGTACTTTATTTAGAAACAAGAGGTTGTTGTGTTTGTAAAATTAGATTTCGAATGCAAATGCTCCAATAATAAAATGGTCCAGTTCAGATCCAGTGACTAACAAAATGACCGTAGATTGTTTCAAGTTCCAGTACTTAATTTTGCAGAAATTGCATATATCGAAGACTCGGTGCGATATTCGCAGTTTAAGTAGATTGCCAAAGGCAACCCAAGGGTTCATATCACAATTTTAAGCGCGTGCAATCAAGTTGTTATGTCGTGTATCACGTCGAATCACTTAATCCGGGAACAAAAATAAAATGTAATTCCTCCAAGGCTGTGATAATTTTGTGTAAGGCCGGCGAGCTTAAGTTTGGGTTTCAGCAAATTTATCCTTGAAATGTTTTTGGTATTTTTTTCTGTTTTTCTTTGAGTCGAAAATTACTGTTAGCTGAAGGGAATCACACCCTTTGCATTGCGTGCGACAATCCAATATAGTTCTAACTGCTCATTAAATGTCTTATGCGAAAAGAAAATTAATTACAATACACTTTGCGTTGCTGTTTTCTAGCTAAATTACAAACAATAACAACCCTGAAACGAACTCATAACTTGGATTTTACCGCCGCCTAAAAATATACACCAAATAACTTTTTATGGAATTTTGATTGCCTCGTGTGGTGACAAAAAAAATATAATAAAAATGTATCACGTAAGGCAAAAATATAATAAGTGCTCTTCGTTTAACAAAAAAAGAAAAAAACAAAACCAAAACGTTCATTCGCGCATTTATTTTTGTACAAGTGTAATTTTCTTGTTTTCCCCTCCCACTCTCCTTCCCTTTGGTGATATTATAATTATTTCATACGCACAATAAATTATGCGGATTCGCATAACCAGCAGCGAGTTTTATGCTCGTTTGTCGTAATTAGTGCTGTTGTAGTGACATGAAAAGCGTTACTTCTAATTTTAAGTCCTTCAATTTTGAAGAAAATTATTTAAGATTTTCTTATTTTTTACTGTAATGGTGGACAAGTACTCTTTTGCCCTCTCACACGTACTCTACGTCCGTAGCATTTATTTCGGACCCAACGCAAGCGCAAGATGTACGGTGATTGTGATGTGGAATGTAGTTACTATACTAAATTTTAGATTGCATTTGGGTACTAACTGTAAATCCAATTTCGACTTGTCATCCGACCACTTCCCAATAATCATTACCCTTAACGAGTCTTGTGAAATGATTGAAAAATGTATTTTTGATAACAAAAATACTGTCTGGAACAATTATCGTCAGGTAATTACTATTGGTCTAAATACCGAAGTTCGGCTGAAAACTGAGTCTAATGTAGCTGAAGCAGTAGAATCTTTCAACTCAAGTGTCCAAATGTCAGCCTGGGAATCAACTCTACCGTTTTCTTAAAGTGGTAAGCAAGAAACATTGGCAGAGGACGAGATTCCCTGCTGATAAAACTCGCTTAAACAAATCATGTAAACTCTTAAAGGCCTTTTTATAAAGTAAAACAATCGTCGCACGTCCCTATACCTCCAAAACTTAAATGCTTTAGGTGATACAAGCTACTGCCTCTGAAAAGCCATAAAAAAGAATAACAGACCGATCGTTTATCAACCACCTTTACGCAAAACCAACAACTCATGGGCAAGAAACAATATCGAAAAAGCAAAAACATTCGCGTTACATTTTTAAATATCTTTAAACCAAACGATAACCAAAATATTCCAGATATCATAAAATAAAGGATATATTTTCTATAAGAGCTTCTAAATAAATATTCTATTAAGGTAGTTATGGACACAATAACGAAATTAAATGTAAAAAAAGGTGCAGAATAGAATTTACTCACAGGTATGGCTCTTCAGTAGTTAACGTCAAAATTTACTTGAGGATATCCTCAAGTAATTCTCGCTCATTTACTTAACGTTGTGTTAAGAAAGAGACTTATTTCATTACAGTGGCAGATAGCGCTGTACTTTCGATCCTGTCGAAAGTTATGGAAATCTTGTTCCTAAAGCGCCATACAGTGATTCTTCAACAAAACAGACTCATTCCTGACCATCAATTCGGTCTTCGCTAAAAACATAGCACAATCGAACAAATTCATAGACTTGTCAGACATATTCATAGCACAATAGACGGTAAGAAATATTGCACTGCGGCATTTATAAATATTTGTTCGAGTACGGCATGAGGACCTTCTTTTCAAACTAAAATTGAATCTACCCCTAAATTTTTTCATATATATTAGATCATTCCTCTCGACAAGGC